TGCTGAGAGGAGGTGTGGAAGGGGCCACTCAGCCACTTGCTGATAATTCCCGTCACCACGCACCAGACTTTGACCCACCCCAGTCGCAGTCAGCAAAGTGGGGAGATCGGAGTCAGCATGAAAGCCACCTCCAAGGTCGTGACCAGGAAGTACAGCCTGCCTGCTATGGAGCCAAGCTGACAGCCTGGGCGCCTGCACTCCCTCCCCACCTGCACCAGCTGCCGCGGCCACACCCCCTCAGCTGTTTCTGTGCTTCCCTAATTCCTGTACCATGTGGTGGACCTGCAAGAGCCTGCAGGAGCTCTGGACGACTGGACGGTCACAGGAGGACACATGCCCACACACAGGGGCTCAGGAGGAAGCCGGCGGCCCACCTGTCAAGCTTGCTTTCTGTGAAGTCAAGGCTAACCCTCCCCAGGAAACTGGGAAAAATGAATTGTACAGCTCCGTTTTTCCCTATCAGTGAGTGGGGGTGGCCTCTGACTGCTCTGGGCGTGTCCTCCAGCCATTCAATCCGAGCTGCCAAATGTGTGAAAATTAGTTAATTTCTTCTCGTTAGATAATTGCTTAACTTAAAAAAGTTACCTTTGTTGAAATTGACTTCAATAGACTTGAGGTTCTAAACTTAGGATTTTCTTCTTTTAAAACACCTGGAAAATTGAGACAGAAAGAAAAATAAAGTAGAATAAACTTCCAACCACTTCATGGGGCAGTCAGACAGACCCTTATATACAGTATTCTGGGAGGGGCTTGGGGTACAGAAGGGTGTGGAGTGCACACCTTGGACTTTCGGACTGCCCGACTGGAGCAAGGGGTGCCTCGCCCCAGTGACTCCAAGGAAGGTGCAAAGAGAACCTATCCACCTGCTGTGGGTGGGGGGGACCCGGAGTGAAGGAGAGGCCTTTAATTTATAAACTGGAGATCAGCAGTTAGCATAATGGCTATGTCGCTGGACTCCCATGTTCGCGTCCCAGACCCAGTGGCTTAAGCTCACGCCGGGCGCATGTGCATGTGTGCCCAAGATCCCGAGAGGAGAATGGAGGAGAAGGGATTGTGGCATGGCCATACCCCCCACCCTGGGGGGTGATTTCTCGCTTTCTGTCTCTCTGTCTCTGTCTTTCTGGTGAGTGCACATGCCCTATAGCAAAAACCTCTCAAAAAAAAAAAAAAGAAAGAAAGAAAAGAAACTGAAAACAAGAAATGTGGGAACCAGATGCAGCCAATAAAAAGAATGTTTTTTGTTTTTGTTTTTGTTTTTAATAGAGAAAACAAGGAACAGCAACCATGGGCTAAGGGAAGGAAAGACGCCAAGGCAGGAACCCTCACAGCTTCCCAGGCTGCTGGGAGGGGCATGCCAGGGCTCCCTGAAGTCTTTTCTCCACCATGAACCAACAGGGAGCACTCGCTAGCCCTGCCGGGAGCACTCGCTAGCCCTGCAGGGAGAACACGCTAGCCCTCCTGGGAGCACACACTAGCCCTCCCGGGAGCACTCGCTAGCCCTGCTGGGGACACACGCTAGACCTGCCGG